GTGCACTGTTTCCAGTCACTTGACACTGTTCTTATTAGTTGACTGATTCAGTTGTGCCTGTCCTTTGGTGGGTAAGTATTATGGTTGTGTGTGAAAGGGCGTAGAGAGATTGGGTATCCGTTGGGGCTATGACGGAAAGCAGCAGCAGAGACCAGCACTGGCTGTTTATCAGTACTTGAGTCAGCGGTATATGCTTGTTGGTTATGGTGGTGGTGATGGTGCTTCGTCAGGATGGGGGAGGGGGGAAGGGAAGAGAAAAATTCCTGCCTCAAGTCTTTGTGAAATGTAATAAAGTTGGTAGAATTACCGACAATATGTAAGGTAATAGGACACAAGTGCAACTAATGTGACATTTTATTGTAGCAACGTTTCGCTCTCCAGGAGCTTTATCAAGCCATTACAAACAATACATGGACAAAGAGGGTATATAAAGGCTCAGTGAGGTGCAATACTAGTGAGGTACCATTTAGATGTTCACTAGTGGTAGTAGTAGTAGTAGTAGTAATAGTAGTGACAAAAGTAGTAGTAGTAATACAGCATGGTAGAGCAATTAATTCGTACATGAGTAAAAGGATATAAAAGCTATTACTTGGGTAACAAAAATAGGTTGGACAAATAGACTGGAAAGAGGCAGCCTGTTTCAGTGTTCACTCTCTGTAATGTGCTTTGTGTAGTATAACAGGAGAGACTATGTGATGGCAGGGTTTACTGTTTTCAGGAGGATTCTTGCTAAGACTTCAGAGATGGTGAAGCTGCAGTTGTTTTGTTTAATTGTATTCGAAACAGCGATCAGTGCTGATTCGAGGCACTTGCGTCTGCGGAAATTAGTTTCTTTAATCACTAATTGGGAGTCTCTGAATTTCATGAGATTGGTAGAATTTCGATGTTGTACACAGGCGTTGTTCAAGTTATCGTTCCTACATGCTTAAATGTGTTCATTGAGGTGAGTATCGAGGTTTCTTGCTGTTTCACCTACGTAAATCTTGTCACAGCCTCCACAGGGTATAGTGTAAACTCCTGCGTTGACTGGTTCGTGGTGCTTGGATTTTGTTCTGGTTAGATCCTTTATTGAAGTGCTAGAAGCGATGGCGACTCTGGTGTTAGCTTGTGAAAGTACTTTTGAAACGTTCAGTGCAACCTGGCTGTTGGGAAGAATTATAACTTTGTTGGGAGTGGTGTTGGTGCGTGGAGAATTAATGATCTGATGAGCTCTTTTCTTGCAGTCTTTGATGAAAAAGGAAGGAAAATGTAACTCAGTGAATGTTTGGTGAATATATGTACATTCCTCGTTAAGAAACTCAGGACTACAAATTCGGTATGCTCTTAGGAAAAACCCGATAATGATGCCTCTTTTGGTCTTGGTATCTTGACTGGAATAGAAGTGTGTGAGATCATTTTTATTGGTGTGTTTCCGATAAACTTGAAATCTTAGGTTGTTGTCTACTTTGTGAATGAGGACGTCGAGGAAAGGTAGCTTGTCATTGGACTCTTCTTCTAGTGTAAACTGGATCGCCGGTTCAACTGCGTTGAGCCTTGCCTGTAGATTCCGTACATCAAAACGTTTGGGGGTTATTACGAGGACGTCGTCCACGTATCGTAACCAAGTGACGCTTGAAGGGATGATGGTGGCGAAGTGTTCGGACTCTAGGTGTTCCATGTATAAGTTGGCTAGGACGGCACTGATGGGGGACCCCATTCCCATGCCGTAGGTTTGTTTGTAGAGCTTGTTATTGAAAGAAAAACAGTTGAAATTAACACAGAGTTCAATCAAGTCAACAGAATCTCCGGGAGGTAGAGGAAGATTAAGGTTATTTGTCCAACCTATTTTTATGTTACCCAAGTAATAGCTTTTATATCCTTTTACTCATGTACGAATTAATTGCTCTACCATATTGTATTACTACTACTACTTTTGTCACTACTACTACTACTACTACTATTGAACATCTAAATGGTACCTCACTAGTATTGCACCTCACTCTGAGCCTTTATATACCCTCTGTGTCCATGTATTGTTTGTAATGGCTTGATAAAGCTCCTGGAGAGCGAAACGTTGCTACAATAAAATGTCACATTAGTTGCACTTGTGTCCTATTACCTTTGTGAAATGATGACCAACTCACTGATTAGAATTTTCCTGGAACACCAGTGGTGTTAGTCGGTGATTAAACACCTACCGGTTCTGGGTATCAGTAAGCATGTACTGGTGTACCAGTTCTGGGTATCAATGACTAAGCATCTACTAGTGTATCAGACTAGATTTTCCATCCCATTAAGGCAATAGTTTAAACTAACCTATTTACTTTTTACCCTAGCGGTGGAGACGTCAATTACGTATTGAAAGCTCCGCCTACCCAGCCAGCAGTGATGCAATCATTACTGTAAGGGAAAGCACTCATTCTTTTTTTTATCTTGCGAGTGACTATGCGAAGTGAGACACGTCGAGCTTCCTAACCATCGCTGACCTAATATAAGGTCAGAGTTCACGATCTACTTCGTCGCTTGGCTGGGTAACTAACATGTCTAGTTAGTGAACAAGTTACTGTGGCTGAAACGTTTCACAACTAGCCAGTAAATTGGGACGGGAAACTAGGACACGTTTCGGTTCCTTTCTGTGTCAATACGAAGTCGCGAGTGACTACGATACTTCAGGACGGACTGAAACGTGTTCTACTTTTTACTTCGTATATCTTCAGGCGATAATGAACTGTTTTCAGTATCAGAAGTCACGTATAGTGGAACCTTGTGAGCGCCCACGTACAGTGCAACCTCGTGTGCGCCCACGTACAGTGGAACCTCGTGTGTGTCCATATCGGATGCTCACAGTGAGATCGTCTAACTCCTTTATTCACAGTAACAGTAACTGCCTCATTCCTTGTGTTGAGGGTAATGGGATGCAGAAATTGTTACTCTATCTGAACCTGCTCTGAGGACACCCGTAGTCCAGCTGGTTAGTCCAGTAGGTCTATCCCGTCGTCCACACATCTATACTCATTCGCTCTAGAAAGTCTCGCAACTGTCTTCGACATTAGGGTTCTGAACTCATCAGCCGAGCACTACTGAAGATGTACTCGATAAAAAAAACACATTCTCACCCACTACGCGGAAAATTCAAGTGGATGAGGATCAGGTGGAACTACAAAGGGATCTAAACAGGCTACAAGCCTGGTCCAACAACTGACTCCTGGAATTTAACCTCCACCATGTGCAAATTAATATAGATTGGGGACGGTCACAGCAGACAGAGTACAGGCTAGGGGGCCAAAGATTGCGAACCTCGCTCACGGAAAAGGATCTTGGAGTGAGTATAATACCGAGCACATCTCCTGAGGCGTGCACACACCAAATAACTGCTGCAGCATATGGGCACCTGGCAAGGAATCGTTCAAGGCCCTGTACACCTAGTACATCAGGCTTATATTGGAGTACTCAGTACCAGTATGGAACCAACTCTTGGTCAAGCATATCAAAAAATTAGACAGTGGAAAGGTTTGCAAATAAGACTAGTCTCGGAGCTAAGCGGTATATCCAACTATCCTACGAGGAGAGGTTAAGGGAAATCGACCTGACGACACTGTAGGACAAGAAAAATGTGGATGGGGGGAAGGAGGGGACATAACATACAGAATACAGAGAGGAATTGACAAGGTGGATAGGCAGAATGTTCCAGAGATGTGAGACAGCAACAAGGGGTCACAACTGGAAGGTGAAGACTCAGACTAGTCACAGAGATGTTAAGAGGTGTTTCTTCAGTCAGAGTTGTCAGGAAGTGGTATAGTCTGGAGATGCAGTGGAGGCAGGATCGTACATAGCTTTAAGAAAAGATGCGATAAGGCTCATAGAGCAGGGAGAGAGAGAGGACATAGTAGCAACCAGTGAAGAGGCGGGGCCAGGAGCTATGACTCAACCTCTGCAACCACGAATAAGTTAGTGCATATAGGTAAGTACACACACACACACACACACCCAAATAACTGCTGCAGCATACGGGCGCCTGGCAAACCTGAGAATAGCGTTCCGATACCTTAATAAGGAATCGTTCAAGACACTGTACACAGTGTATGCAAGGCCCATACTGGAGTACGCAGCACCAGTCTGGAACCCACACCTGGTCAAGCACGTCAAGAAGTTAGAGAAAGTACAAAGGTTTGCAACAAGGCTAGTTCCAGAGCTCAGAGGAATGTCGTATGAGGAAAGGTTGAGGGAAATCGGACTGACGACACTGGAGGACAGAAGGGTCAGGGGAGACATGATAACGACATACAAGATACTGCGGGGAATAGACAGGGTGGACAGAGACAGGATGTTCCAGAGAGGGGACACAAACAAGGGGTCACAATTGGAAGCTGAAGACTCAGACGAGTCACAGGGACGTTAGGAAGTATTTCTTCAGTCAGAGTCGTCAGGAAGTGGAATAGCCTAGCAAGTGAAGTAGTGGAGGCAGGAACCATACATAGTTTTAAGAGGTATGACAAAGCTCAGGAAGCAGAGAGGGAGAGGACCTAGTAGCGATCAGTGAAGAGGCGGGGCCAGGAGCTGAGTCTCGACCCCTGCAACCACAATTAGGTGAGTACACACACACTTTTTTTTTTTTCTCATGTTGGTATACCTGGAGGGTTTTGGGGGTCAACGCCCCCGCGGTCAAGTCTGAGACCAGGTCTCGTGGCGGATCAGGGTCTGATCAACGAGTCTGTTACTGCTGGCCGCCCGCAAACTGGCATACGAACCACACCCCTGCTGGTCAGGTACTGACTTTAGGTGCCTGTCTAGCGCCTTCTTGAAGGCAGCCAGGAGTCTATACATAACCTTATGCCTTACTCTCAGAATCATGCATGCAACCTGTATATAAATTAATATTTCTTTCTATGCAAGTCAAAAATATATCTGTAAAGTCTATGGACGTGAGATTGAATTATGTCATTATAATAATTACAAGTCAGACGATAACTTCTTTCTTGGTGTGATTGACGAGATGTTTCTGGCGTTGTCATTCCTTCCAGCCAGCAGTCAAGGTCTCATTACCTTTCCCTTTCCAAGTTCGACCATGTCATAAAGATGGGGTGGGCGGAGGCTACGGTATATAAGACGTGTGTGGTCACTACTGAGCATCACACTTGATCTCCCACAGCGAATAACATGGCCTACAAGGTACGTGGTCAGAGTCTTAGTGAACAGAATTCCTGCTACACTTGTACATATATGATAGATTACAATATGTGCATTATCATATTAAAACATTTTTTGAAACTTACGATATTTCAGATTTTTGCCCTGGCTGCCCTTCTGGCTGTTGTGTCAGCAGAGCAGCGTCCTACTTATGGGCCTCCACCACCCACTTACAGCCCTCCAACTCCCTCCTACAATCCTCCAAGACCTGCCTACAATGCTCCTGAACCAGTGGTAAGTCCATATATAAATAGCTGATCCTCAACAAAAAAATCTTAAATTTTTCTCACAGCCATATTTTGTACAGTACATACATTTCTCTAAACTCAAGCACAACTTACTCGAGCACAATTAACTTATAAAATCCATATTTATATTAATGGGTTTTACCTATTATTCTCAGGGTCCTGCCCAGTACAACTTCAACTGGGCCGTGAAGGACGACTACTCCGGCAACGACTTCGGCCACGATGAAACTCGTAATGGCTACGACACTCAGGGATCCTATTACGTCCAGCTTCCAGACAGTCGACTGCAGAGGGTTTCCTACACTGTGAACGGCGACTCCGGCTTCTTGGCTCAAGTTGAATATCAGGGCGAGGCTCAGTACCCAGCCCACCAGCCTGCCCCGGTTTACAAACCCGCCCCTACTTACCAACCAGCCCCCACCTACCAACCCATCCCCACATATTCTTAAGTCAGATTAATTTTATGACTTGACAGAATTTCTAACCAGAGCATGTAATTTGATATTTATAAATTAAAGTATATAAAAATAATTAAAAACTTTTTGAAATGCAATCCTTATTTACAAATACGCAAAGAATGTCAATGACCTATTCAGTGTAGAAGACCTCATGGAGTATATACCTGTAAATATGAGATGTAAATTGTTTATGGGTTGTATAGGTAAACTCGAGTAGGTGGGTCAATATGTGAACAAAATACACCTCTTTCTGTGGTACATGTCAACGAACAAGTCATAATGCTGCACTGATGCATTCATCTTTGATGGAAACATTTGAATAATCACTGATAAGGTAAAAGTCAGAGCGTGATGCTTGTTTTCTGCAAAGTAGTTTGTGATGTGTAACTGTTTACAAGAACATGGAAATGAGAACTTCAACATTTAGCAGCATGAAACCACATTAGTTCTTGCATTATTTTTCTTATATACGAGTAAAACTTCATAATTTACTGCTTGAGTCCCTGCTATTTCTTGCGGCGTTACCAGTGGAGAACATCCACTAGTGGAAGTAGGTCATGTCTATAGGTTACGCAAGCGTTGAATTCACTGATTTTAAGACCCCAAGATGTTACTTCCACTAATGGATTTCGTCCACCGGTGACGCCGCCTCCAACTGCTTCAACTCGCCTGTTTGCAGCATATAAGCCCCTTCACGTATATTGTACTTTATCAAGACTGACGGACTGAACATGTAATCTCCAGGCTGAGGGACTGATGACTTTAAACTCCTTTATCCTCACCGTTTTTCTCTGTAATGGTCTGAAGTCACTAACGTGCGAAACCTTAATTCGGTCAAGACATTCAGATGTTGCACAAGTATCTCACTTGTCAGCTTGTCGATTTTCTGAACCATTTACATACAAATAAATGTCCCAAGTACTGCATATGAATCATTTTTCCACGCTGCTAGACATGTACAAGATAAGTACTCTGAGAGCTGAGGTTCATCGAGGTACACGAACTTCTTCCTTGCTGGAGTTTGACTTTTAAATTTCATATTGCTTTTGTATAAAAAGATGATCGATGTAAGAAACACTGAAGAAAAGAACAAGTGGGCATATACATGGGAGTATTGTCTCGCCTGTCCTTTTCATTAGAACAGAGACCTTTCCTAATACAGTGTCCAAAGAGTCTAGAGTTTTCCACAACTGGTCGGTATTATAGCCTGGGTTGTTACGGCAAAAAATTGTAGCTATTAAACTTGAAAATACAGTCGTGTTTTTTTCTATGAAGATCTTGATGGTATTGTAGGGCGGCTGTATCTCTGGAGCAAAACGAGCAGATAGTTTTCTACGTAACAAATATATTTGCATATGTGGCTGCAGGAGTCTAATCACCTGCCTTGACATACAAGTTCCATATATAATATTACTCGGTATAAGACTAGAGTTGTCACTGGTTTGATTGATCTTAGAAATTCACAGTTAGTGAGCTGTAATGTATTTCTATGGTTTTCATATTAAGCTGCATTTAGCAAATTTGTAGCCTTTATAGTTGACCTTTGTAGGTTTAGAGCTTCATTTTGATTATAATGTAACCTTTTATTATTTTCCTTTTTTAATGTATGCTAAATGGGAGGGAGTCCTTTAGTGCGACTTGTCACTGAAGACTCCTCACTGGAGGTTCCTTGATGCCTTGAATGTTGGCTCCTGATGCAAGGAGTTGGATTTAACCTCCCCTTCCTTGGATCGATCCCCCCTAAATATCTCTCATTACCCAGGCTCTGCATGTCCCCTACAGATTTGGCGCTTCACAGTGAATAAAATAAAATGAAACGCCCACAAGGAATGATTTCAGAAAATTCTATCCAGCAATAATAAGCCCGACTCAGAATGATATTGTATTAACAAGTGTCGCACTGGGAGATCTAACTTCAGTGAATCAGTGACTGCTAATTTTAATTTGTTAGCAAGCGTTAAACATCTAGATGATGAGTTTAGTGAGAAAAGTGTTAGAAAAGTGAGTCTGTACAACACTAGCGTTTTATCAGATGGAACTTGTCCATGGTAAGACAGGTGGAAACAGATGAATGACGAGGGTGAAAACCCAGACTGGTTTAAGTTACCTGTGTATGTAGCAGCTTGACGTAGGGGAGAAGGATAAACTCTACGATACTTAAAATGTAGGAGACCACAGTACTTATAAATGGTGGAGGAATTGTATAATTATATTTTATGAAGATGGTATAACGTGAAATCTAAACAGACTAGTTCACACGGCTTATAACGTTTCACCCCTCAAGGAAGGTTCCTTGATGCTGGTGAGGGGCTCTTGATCTAGGGAATTAGATCTGTGCTCCAGTTCCCTGAAATGAGCCTGAATGCCTTCAATCCCCCCCCCACATGCGCTGTATAATCCTCTGGGTTTAGCGCTCCCCCATGATTATAATAACGTTTCAGCTGTTTGAGGGTCGACAGTCACGTCTCGGTAAAATTTAAGGTTTACACTAAAATTCGCTTTGAGTAGTTTTACTTTATTTTATACTTTAAATATGAAATTATTTGCTCATAATAAAATGAAAAAAAAAAGGTAAACATTCTGTGAATTAATTAAGCATATGTGGGGGTGGGTTGGTAGGTGGGGGCTGGCTGGTAAGTAGGGGCGGGCTTGTAAACTGGGGCAGGTTGGTGGGCTGGGTACTGAGCCTCGCCCTGGTATTCAACTTGAGCCAGGAAGCCGGAGTCGCCGTTCACAGTGTAGGAAACCCTCTGCAGGCGACCGTCGGGAAGCTGAACGTAATAGGATCCCTGAGTGTCGTAGCCATTACGAGTTTCATCGTGGCCGAAGTCGTTGCCGGAGTAGTCGTCCTTCACGGCCCAGTTGAAGTTGTACTGGGCAGGACCCTGAGAATTAGAGGCAAAATCTATTAAAATACATATGGATTTTAAGGGCTAGTAATATAATTTTACTAATTTCTGCACTGGTACTGTAGTCTAGACTTGAATGTCATAGGTAAAATATGATTGTGACAATGATTTTTTTTTTTGCTGAGGGTTAAATTAATTAGTGGACTTGCCACTGGTTCCGGAGCGTTGTATGCAGGTCTTGGAGGGTTGTAGGAGGGAGTTGGAGGGCTGTAAGTGGGTGGTGGAGGGCCATAGGAAGGACGCTGACTCTGCTGAAGCAATGGCCAGGAGGGCAGCCAAGATGAAAACCTGAAATATCAGAGGTTCTCGAAATCTTTAAACAAAACAACGTCCCTGAATAGAAGAATCTATGGCATATGCCCTAATGTAGCAATTATATTCACTAAGACCGACTCTGTACCTTGTAGGCCATGTTATTCTGTGTATGAGAAGATCAAGTGTGATGATCAGTAGCGATCACACACGTCTTATATACCGTAGCCTCCGCCCATCCCTAGTCATGACATGGTTAAGTTGGGAAAGGGAAAGGTAGAGACCTTGACTCACTGACTGGGGAGTGACCACGCCAGCAAAATCTGGACCAACATGCCAGGAAGAAGAGGATGTAGAAGTTGTAATAATAATAATCATAATAAATACAGTCTCGTCAGTATATTTTACAGAGATTCACTTTTGCTGCATAGAAAAATATTTATAATGGACGGGGATACACTCATACTAAGATGATAATACAATACTAAGATGACAATGCCTATACAATTGCATGGTTTTTCTCCCTCTCCCTCCACCCCCCCTCTCTCTCTCTCTCTCTCTCTCCCTCTCTCTCTCTCCCTCTCTCCTCTCCTCTCTCCTCTCATCCTCTCTCTCTCTCTCTCTCTCTCTCTTCTCTCTCTCTCGCTCTCTCTCTCTCGTCTGGGAATGTCTGGAGCCACAGGGACGACCAGAAACCTGGAGAGCTGCGATTTTGGAGGCGGCGATGGAAAACGACACTTAAGCTGTGTCCTGCGTATTTCGACTGAAGAGTCTGCTGAGCAGGCGAAATGTCTTGTCCATAAACCAGACTGTCCCATATATGTCTTCTTCATCTGCTTGTCAGTGTTATAGATCATCAGCATAAGGTAAACACTGCCAACATCTGTCGTACCAACATCTGGAGTGCCAATATCTGTCGTACCAACATCCGTCGGTCCCCACTATTCAACCTGCTACCAGCAGATTGTCAGAAATATTACTGGAACAAGTGTAGAAGCAATTAAGAGTAACTGGATCACCACCTCCGCATTCTTAGATCAACCAGGCTGTGATAGCTGTGAGAAAGCGAGCCGATAACAGCAACGAACTTGTCGACAAGGCAGTCATCAGGGAGGCCTGGCTTCAGGGTTGACTGTAAAAGTAGGAACACTCTTGAAACAGGTCACAGGTAAGTTGTAGGGTTAGAAAGTGTCTGTTAGGAGGGGGGTAGTGGATGGGTGGGGATAGTGTGGGTTGTAAAGTGGGGGGACTGGTGGGGTAGTAGTGACGGGATGGATAATGTGTTGAGGGAGTGGTATGGGAGGGGTAGAAGTGAGAGGATGGATAGTGCGGATTGTGAGGAGGTGGTGGATGGGTTTTGAGAGGAGGGATGGATGGTAAAAGGAGTTCTTTTAAATAAATATGAATACCTCGTCAGTATGCTGCTACTCTGTATGATAGTTACGTAGCGGGAGCACCCACTGTGTCGCTACCCTACCTCATACGATAGTTACACAGTGGGAACAAAAGTTAGCTATGTTATACTGTCGTATTCAATCACCCATGATCGTGTCATACAAAGTCTTGAAATCTGTCTGTTTGGAGTTTACCTGAATCCGCTTTCGGAGGGCTCTCCGCGTGGCTAGGCTCCAGACCAGACCTCCTGTTTGCTGGCCCAATCAATCAATCTTTCACTGCATACCGCCTGCAGTCCAACGTATGCACCACAATCCGACTGATCAAGAACTGTTTTGAGGAATTTGTCTCGTTCCTTCACGAAGAAAACTAAGAATTTTGTAATCCTTCTTACGCATGAATTACGGCAATGAGAATATCGTCAAGCATTCCAGCAAGGATGGATCAGCTACGAGAGGTTTAAAGGTTTTCTTT